CTTTTTAAAAAAGATGGGTTTTCAACTAGATTATGCACATATCAAGGCTCTGATAAGCACATCGTCTTTCAAATATTTTATAGTAAGTATTTATACTAATTTCTATTTATAGGTATGACAATAAAATAGGCAAAATTTTGCATGGCAATCAGCTTTACATTGATCTGTAATGATGTTGCAATAACGCACATACAAATCATTTATTCAAAAATGACAAAATAATAAGACTATATAATTCCATGATACATATTAATGCTACAATTTAATAATATAATTATTAGGGTTTACCATATATATTGCTATGATATCCGAGATCGTTCTTTATTTATTGTTTGTTGGTATTGAATGGGAAAAGAGGGGTGTGATTTACTAATTACGGCTCCCTGAATGCTTGAGAACGGTGAGAAAATGTCGTTATCATTAAATTTGTCAAACATTGTTAACGGCAAATTAACAAATTAATATATTAATTTTGTTGGTATTATTGTTCTGAACCATGCACTTATTTATACTAATAGAGAATACGCCTAAACCTTTAAACGGTGTAACAAATTCTAGCAAGAATATATGAAACGACTGAATTGAAAGAAACTGGTAATGTCTTAGGGGTGCATAAATAATAATATAATTCTACCAATGCAATGTCTCTGGGCTATTTATTAACTCCATTCGTACTGACAAAGAGACTAATAAACCTCCTTTTTTAAACTTGTTTAAACTTGTCTTGTTATGATTGCTCACGTTTGTCTCGCATAATCGTGTGTTTAACTGGTTTAACAAATCCGGCCAAATGTTATCCCGTTTAATATTTGAAACATGTTGAACGCGCAATTACTATGAGAACAAACGCTAAATAAGCAATGTGTTAAAACTCGGGGTAGAGATGTACAGTTCTACTGGGCGATTATAATAATCAGTAAGCGCTACAGCAATAATACAGTAAGTAATATATTAGAATCTGAATCTAGTGTTGTTTTCCAATATCGCGTGTGTGACGCTTACGATTGTGGCTTCTTAGTCGATTATTTAAATTATTAATTTTATTTCTATCCTATTCTAAGAAGAAAAGAAGCAAGCAGTTATTGTTTAACTTATTATGTTTATACTTAAAACCATAATAACAGAGTATATTAATATTATAAAATAATGCATTATTAGTATTGCAAATTTATAATGTTAATTATAATACTAACACTTTTTTTAGTAAACCTTACTGATAAATTTTCTTGTAATCCCAAACTGCTAATATCTAATTTTTTACTTTACCCGTTTTTCAGCATCTTTTTGTTTAAATTTCCAACGCAAGCTAACAAACAAATCTTGCATGTGGCGTATCAATAAACAATAATATACATACTTAACACGCGTTTTATTACTTTTTGTTAATACTGCTTTCTGGTTGGTCAATGTTCGGGAGAACTAAAGCCCCTTACAGAACACATAGTTTATGCGGCTTATCAATACGAACTTTTGTTCTCCGCTTTAAACAGTGTTACCTTTATACTTTTATTATTTATTTTATATCCCTTTGCACTTGATCACGAATATATTTATACTAGCAATTGTATACGACATGTACATATTCACGTTCGTTGGAGTTTGTGTTTATATATAAATGTAATATGTCTGTCGGTTTCTTATTCTTTGTTTGCCTTTCCGTCTAAAGCTGACACTTTTGAAAACATAACATGAACCCTATAACTACTCTCGTTGTAAGTGCAAAAATATAGACTCGTCTCAGTTTATACGGACTACGTTTCAGTTTATACTCACAGCAAATATATATACATACATATATATATATATCGTCGCCTTTGTTGTGCTGTTCTTGTTTTTTTTCTCTCTTGGGCACCTTATTCTTACATGCATCTTTGTTTAACATCTAATACTTAACTTTTCTCTAACACAAACGTTAGGAAGCTGAATTGGTCATAGTATTTGCGAGTCTGTACGATAACAACTGGTCTCTAATAGCAGCCAATATATACAGTCTAATTGGGGTGAGAAAAACTCCAAGAATGTGGAAAGGCTTGTATGTACAAGATGATTTCAATATTTATAAAAACACATGTAAAATACGCTAATCAATAGTATAGCGCACAATTAATCACTAATTTTCTTTTTCATTTTGTTTTTAAAGATATGACAAATTAACGGGCAGATACGTTGGTCGCGTCGGAAGATAATTCAACCATTGCTGCTATTGGTCATGGCACAAAAAAACCTTATCATCACTCCCCTCAACAAGCTTCTCCGAGAAGATTGGACACAATATAATATACGATAAAAATTTTGTTTGTCTCCCAACTAAGATAGGTTTAATATACTATGAATCTAAGATTTAAGCATGCGTTAATATGTATCCGCCTACACAATTGTAGTCGGTAACAAATTGTATGAAATAGACAATTTTTCTTATATGTACTATACCTAAAATTAAATACTGAGAATAAAAAGATTCCACGAGCGATTATCGACCAATTAATGGTTGTTTGTCAATTACGCAATTCACACATGAAGTGTTGCTGTCGGAAAACACTACCATGTGTCATGCAGACCACGTTTCAAAAGATCTTTGTTTCATAATTAGATCCGGTATAACTCGCTACGAATTACATGTATGATAATGAGTGAAAATTGCTGTTTCACGTCTGTCTCTTTATTACTAAACTAGAATAAACAAACGTGACAAAGACAATAGCTGCATGATCTAATTACTATTGTTCTCATCGTCATTTAAGATTTGGTTTATTTTTATATGAATTAGTACGGATTGTGTAATGCCCTTCGACGCACATCCCCTGATCATTTGTTATTCCTTATTTGGTTTACTGTATACGTTTTAATTCAAGAAATTATAGTTCGCGCCCTTTTATCTGAGCAGGAGGTTTGCCGCCAATTTTAACAATCAAAATTGTTCTCCAACTTTTTCTTTTCTTCCCACAGATCAATTCGAGAACAAACGCTCAGAAACATTTACCCGTGCGATGGTGAACTAGAAATAAACATTCTCTGCGGATACAAATTTGCTACGGTATGAGTTGACCATAAAGAGACATGCGATAAGATAAACCCCTTTGTTTTTGTTACAGTACCCATTTGTTTTGCTGTATTGCATGGTGTTCAAGAACATTGATCCGTTCTTACGACTTCTTTTCTTCTTCATGTTATTTTAATCTCAATCGCAACATTATGGGAGGGGGACAAATTTTCGTGAATCAAAAACAACCTAAAAAAGTCCAAGTCTATCGGCACTAATCTTTGTTATCCTTCTTTGTTTACTTGTTATTTCTACATGGCGCTCTCTAATTAGCAAAGTATTACAATTTGTGTTCCAAACAACAATTCGGTATTCAAATCACTTATCGTTTACCGTACATCGAAGTTTTTGTTATACACGTCCATTTATTCATTCCAATAGCATACTATATTATGCAGAATGGGCATTGGAAGTTTCTATTACCAGTAACTTGTTACATCGCGAACGGCGAAAAAATCATCTGATTTTTCTGTGATGATGTGCCGGAGTTTGTATGATTTGCCCCCATAATGATCGACGATCGTATGCAAGATCCATTATTGAAACCGATTACGAAAGAACAATACTTGTAATCTCTAAACTTTTTTTTTTAACCTCATAGCGAAAGTGAGTGAAGAATAATATAGTTTATACATCTCGTTCGCTGGAAACGACTGTTACTTACTAAGAAGAATACTATGTTAATACAACGGCGTGATATGTTCGTTAAAGACGATTTGCGTTCAATAAAGCGGAGCCATACTACTCGCTGAGAAGACCTATGTTCGAACAAGAGTTAAAGATGTTGTGTTGACAATATTATTTGTATCAAAAACAGAGCAAGTCTTTCCGTCAACTCGTAACGTAGTGGCTTCATTCGTGGCGAGCGTACATGAAGAAGGCTAATGGAAATGGTGGCAAGTAAAGAGAGTTAATGTTTATTCTTATTCTCTAGTATATATAGGAAGACGTATTATTTTCTAATGCATACGGTTGAACCAACAAAATCTATCATTCGCCAGAGTTTATCCATCGAACAAATAACTCAACCAACCTACACACATGTTGTCTATCGTCACTAACTCTGAATATGGATAATGTTTCGCCTAGATACGACTTGTATTGAAACTTTTCTTGCGAGATAGTTGACCGTTAATCTCTTCCTCATCAACTGTTTGAGAGTGTTAATTCACTGAACGAAAGCTAACTCTGATACCGTATTGTTAGGCTATAAACAATTTTTTATCAGTTACTTGCAATTGGTTTAGGCTCAACACCACCTAGCGAAGCGTTAATACCTTTAAGAAAGAGTATAAAGAGTTCGATATGACACTAGTTACCTTTCACGAATTGACTTCCAAGAGACCAAATATCGTAGCTGGATCTAATTGTGGTTGTTTTGTTTGAGTCGATAGATGCAAGCCGTATGTCATAGAGAGGTGATCACTATACTGGAGTTGATTAGATCCAAAACAAGAAAATTTATAATCAAAACAATCATACTTACAAAAACAAGAACATCCTTCAACTATATTACGTGTTTAAATTGTATATAGATTATGTAATTTTATTCTTACATTATGCATTGTATAAATGCTAGCTAGATTTGGTATGCCTCCGCGCGACGAAATAATGGTGTTGCATTGCTTGTCGCACTGCTTTTTTATTTGCTTATATTAAGCGACGTAAACTATTCGTATTGCGCTTGACAGATAGAAAACTTTCTTGCTGATACTAAACGACCGAGTTTAAATAGCGTAGCAAAAGATTTGGGTTTGCAAAATCTGCTCTTTGGCAGCAATTAAAAAAGTTTAAACGAAGAGGCGAAAGGGAAGGGGGGAAAGCAAGCAGCTCAAAGAAAGCTATGTAGAAACGAAAGATTAGCAAAAGGCTATAAAAATTGGGGTTTAAAAAGCGAGGAAAAGAAAATACTAAAATAAACAATATGTAAAAAAATTTTTTTGATGCAAATAGATCAGATTCGCAAATACTGATTTTGAAAGGCTATAACTGAACGGCAATTCTGCATCAATTCCATTTTGCAATTTCATTTCCACTAGCATGCATTTTTGTTCTAGAGTTTTAACTCTAAATATCAAAAGTAACGAACGGGTTAATGAATTTTTTACCTAGTAAGAATTTTTAACCTTATTAAATTATTTCGTCTACTTTAAGCTTGTTTTACATTCAAGAAATTTGGTAAACATATAATAGTGCCTAGTGATGCTAGCGAATTGAACATCCCTCGAGATGCGCTACAATTTTCGTCAAAAAAACTTCAGAAGGCAATGACATTCGCTTACGAAAGCTTGAAGGAGAGGCTATGCTCGCTGATAAATTGTACCATTGTTAAGAAAATGTTGTTTCAATTACTTCGTTGACAACGTATACCACATTGATGGAACACAACTTTTTATAAGTATATTTCAAGTTTACCAAAAAAAAAAAAAGTGACACAAGAACGTTAGATTACCGTTCTTAATTACCGGTGCCACACAAACCGTGCGCGAAATCAGAAAACAAAGACTCCAAAACTTAATGATCATGCGGACATAAACAGTCGAACACAATGCTGGCAGAAGATCTCTTAACATTCCCGTATTTATGTGAACTCGTATATGCCCTTAAGGTGTTAATAGAAAAACAGTAGATTTGAAAAGATTAAACGATAATCAGGAAAGCTCCTGTGTTTCATGCAACTCTACCAGTTGGAGAACATTTCTTCTACGACAGGTTATTACAAATTTTTGTCAAGAAAGAAATAATGTTGTAAATATGCCTGATTTAGAATATGATTACTAAATGCAGAAATTTATGTGCAACAAATACTGATACCCACTTATGGAGGTGCCCTGTCCCTGTACGTAGTCTAGTTTGGTTTCGGAAAAACTCGACAGTGTGATACAATATCAGTATGTATTAGGGGTGGGAACGAACAAAAATAGCATGAAACAGTTCGACGTGTGCTAGTGCAAAACCGAAAGTGTGATGCAAACTTTTTGTATTGCAGTATGTTCTAGCTGACGATATATTATCTAATCAGTAATTGTTTGAAGAGGTAAATACTCGAAACTATTACGAAGACAACAAGTACGATAATAACATGTTTAGTGGGTGGGAAAGAACGTCGCCCATCGAAAGTGAGTGAAAAGCTAAAGTCTTAAATGTAGGTCGATAGTGAAAACCAGTAACTTTGGATCGGAGACTTGAGTATAAGTAATAAAGCTCACATGTAAAAATCTGCTAAAATAAATATGATTCGACTTTTTTCCTTCATAAGTTTGTTATTAGGCTTTTACTTTTAGCTACTTAAAAGTTAGAGTCAACTGAAACCATTGATCTATGCATACACGTCTTTTGCGTTGATAGATGCACGCATAATGAGAATCTTCAAAAATATGTATACTAACAAGATACCGATTTTTTGCAAAGCCTTCGAGTATACGCCAAGGATGGAAAAACAGCTTGGTAGTTTTTCTTATTAACTGTAATGGTACAAGCCCAAACTTTATTTTCTAGTCAAACAATAAAAGTTGCGATAAAACTTGAATTAATTTAACTGTCAATTAGTTTACAAGTAGATTCAGACCAGACAAGATTGGAATCGTATATAATCGTACAAATAATTAGCAACAGGGTAAATAATGTCATTTATTTAATTTAATTTCAGACGCTCTACTGTTATAAAAAAAATTTTTTTTATCTTGAACCAATTTGCACGAACAATGTCAATTAATTTTATTATTAGAGAAATAAAAGGAACGTTATCTCTTAAAGTATAAATAATTAACTCGTTTCTTGATTTACACAACATATAGCCAAGGCTGCACAAGGCGTGTATAATAAAATCTTTGTACAATTGAAGTAACGAAAGCATAACGGCACAGTCCACCAAATTAAACTTATTATCAAAATGTGGACAAACAGTTAATATTTATAAATAAAGTTTATGCATGGGTAATAGAAAGGCTAGTCAAAGTATTAACAAAGAAAAGTGTTTGTGCATAATCAGACAAGGAAAATTGTAGTGTTACATTTATTACTTAATTATACCTTTTATCGAACGTTTCAACAGCTATTCAGTTGAAAGCGAAACAAGAACTGTTGAAGTAAAAGACCCATTATTAAAGGAAAAAGTAAATTAAGATTGTTACAGCAAAGAATAAAATACCAGTTTGTGAACGGCGAATGATTGTCAGCGGCAGGACGGTTTGTTGGTGAAATGCCCTGACAAGGAACCGATGCAAGATTTTTTTGACATGGTAGTTACGTGCACAATAAAAGCTTTGCATCAAACAAAAAGCAGTGGTACCCGAAACATTAAACCTTTATAATAATTATAACCGTTAGACAGTTACAAGCATTCTCTAGATTATAATTGCGACAGCTTTAAATTGTTGGACTTGAATTATAACATAATATTGTGACATACCTCAGCTCCGTTCTGGACCGAGACAACCGAGTTTGTTATGACAAACTTTTGAACTAAACCACATCTCATATGTTTTTCAAGCGTATTGATATGACACAAATTACAGATGTTAAATGTAACATGACATAAGACAAGTAGAAACATAATATTTTTCTATAAAAAAAAGTTTTTAATATATTTAAACTGGCTTGTACGCAATTAGTGAAATGTCTCGGTGATTTTTTCAAACATGTTTGTGTTGATTGTGCGCATAACAATTGCTCTTCATTGATTCGAGTATAACTGGAGCGTTATCCAATAATTACAATTGAAATGTAGATCATGCCAATTTGGGGCAAATTTTTGTTCGCCAATTATAGGTGTGCGATCTATCGACTATCATTGAGCCCGGCACATCCAGGAACCCTCGATTCTCATGTTTAAATTTATAAAAACTAGTGCGTAAAATGGTTGCGGAGGCAGAAGCAAGTTAAATTTGTTATTTTAAACAATATATAAAAAGAATGCATTTATTTGTATATATTACCTTCCGCGTTACCTTTTTTCGATTATGTAAACACTTGCCACAAATAAATGCTAGTGTCAGCTGATATCTACTATGCAATTAGTTGGCAAGTTTAATTAATTAATAACGTGTTCAAATTAGCCGGTTGAGCTTTATTTAGTACTTCAAATAACTACCAAAAGTGCTACAGTGTAAATAAATAAGCCGTTACTTATTTATCGTAATTTATCGTGTAATAAAGTAATAAACAAAAAACAGGTATAATTTAACTCTGTTTAAAATACGTTTTTTATTTTGGTTCGATAGAATAATTTGATATCACATAACAGCGCAGTGATCACACCTAATATGGTCTTATTTGTTTAAGTCATCAATCATACGTTCTCAATTCAACCATTTACGTTTTTGTGAAACTTTTTTTCGATTAGTATTGTCAGCCCTATCTAATAGACTACTATAAAATTTATATTAAAGTGAAAAAAATTTTTTATTGTGTACTTACTATACATGCTCAGCAGCAAATTGTATGCGTTCACGTGGATATTCCAAAGCCGCTATGCAGCGCAGACTGGCCAAAACAATGTAATGTTAAAATATTATATATTTATTTAATATTAGCAACTGTTATAATACGGCAAAAGTGCACCGCCGCCGTTCTAAATAAACAAATTTTTTGCCTTGCTTATTTTGCTTCTGCTTGCTCTAAAATGAACAGACTGAGCCTCGCTGTAAGTTAACTTTTTATATACGTTTGCTTATTATATATTGTTAGACTGCTTTTGTTTTTTACCTTTGAAACATGCACGTTCCCTTAATAGACTGCTAACGGTCGTTGTTTGATTCTCTTCTTGTCTCTGTTTAAAATTAGGAAATTACTTTTATGGTGAATATGACCCGCAACGTAGGCGTTGCCAATAATGAAAATCGCTGGAAAACGGTCGCCAAGGCCTATTCCAAAAAAACTGGTAATAAACGGACGACAAAAAATTGCCGGGATATGTATGTATTAATAGACAAGTTTTGGGTTGGGTATGCTTGAGAAAATATTGTCTAGGGTGTGTTTTCGGAATAGTAAAGCGGTGTTAGTTAGGTAGTAATAAATAATGTTTTACTCGGAAAATATTTACCTGTCAATACTATGCATGTAATTTTGGACGTTCATAATGCAGCCTTAAATTTGTTTTTCGTTAACATTATTATTTTTTTTGTTGACTTGCTAAATTAATTACGTTTAGTGTGTTTAGTACGTAATAAGAAATCAAATACGATAACACTTACAACTATTTCGTGTAGACTAATACCAAACTTTTATTTTAAAGTTACCAAAAAGCAATCGGCGCTCGAACCGGCCGTGTAGGGCGACGAAATGCACGACAGTAGTTTGTATCGACAACTGTTTGTTAAAAAATATCTTGTGAAAAAGCTGTTGTATAATTTTTTCTGCTTATTCAAAGTTACGATCGAGAAAAGCCGTAGATTCCAAAACGCGAAAGCAGAAAATAAGGCTTCCGTTACCTACTGCAGCCTCTTGGACTTTTCTTCTTTGTTATATCTCCCAAATTTAAGAAATTAAGATTAATATAACATAAAGTTGACATCTAAGCATGCGTTAGCACGTATCTGCTCAATACTTACACCGTAAATGTTACAAACATGCTTCTAAAGTCGAGAATAAGAATATTATTGGAGAGTAGACACATGCGTAATTGTAGCTAGAAAGTAATAAAAGCTTGTTAAATAAATGACTTGCGTAAACAAGATTGTCAAGTTGTTGCTTTTTTGCCATTGTGTTAAATACGTCCGATTTACGCAAAAAGTAGGTAAGTCTACATAACTTTTTCTTTTTAAAAATGCTTAATATCAATACCGCCGGCTTTGAAAACAACAACAACAACAACAACAACAACAACAACAACAACAACAACAACAACAACAACAACAACAACAACAACAACAACAGCAACAACAACAACAACAACAACAACAACAACAACAACAACAACAACAGCAACAACAACAACAACAAAATTTACCTGTAATATTTATTAAGGCTCGGTTGTTGCAAGTTCAAACGCGATTTGAATCTATACATCTGACACTGCCTATACCGAACTAACCGGCTGGAGAATTTGGTTCGTTGTAACCAGAGTTTATTATAACCAGAGCTTGCGTTATAACCGGGGTTTATTGATTAGGAAAAATCGGATCTGGTGATTCTGGTTCGGTATATCCAAAGTTCGGTATATCCAGGTTCGGTATACTGTATTTGGCTTTTAGCTTACCTAAAATTAACAATTTTAGAGGGCATTAGCAAAGTACGAATAAATAGTATCAAGCCATAGCCCCCCGCCAATGAAATTTCTAATTTAACAGCAACATTGTAAACCACAGCTATTAAAATGTGAATTACGGTAAAATTGAGCAAAATAACCTAAATTGATTGCGTCGCTTTAAATTGAGTTACGTAAATGAGGGGTTCCCCTGCCAATCCCGCCTTTCTCATTTTACAAAGCAAACCATGGCGGCACATCAATTGGCCAGTAAAAATTCATCATGTCCAATATCAAGCGCAGATCGATACCACTTTTGCTTTGATTCTTTTACCTGCATGTCGCCTATTCTAGAAAGATCTGATGAGAAAAGCTAACCTTTTTGAATAGAAGATTTATGCTCCTCTCCGTTTAATAAACGCCCGATTATCCAGACAGCTCATACAAGGTCTTTGATATTGGATTTCATGACAAATTGTCGATATCAAAGTAGCCCGTTAAACTTGACCTTTTTTCCTTCTGACTGTTACTGTCTTATGAAAATCTCTCTTCTCTTTTGCTCGTTAACATGTGTAACACTACAAACTGCCGAAAGTATTACCGCATCTTACTGCATAATGAATGTAATGCAATTGATAATAACGTTACAGGCCGAATTGAATTACCTTGATTAGTGAGACTTAACACAAGATTAGGTTTTACTTTACAAAATCGAAGGGTGGGGCGGTTTCCATCACTTTCGGGTGTTGAGATCAGCAAAACTGATATTAAACCGTAACGGCTACTTTTCTAGTTTTGGGAGCAATAAGTAAAAAGTCTGCTACATCTGCATGCTTGCATTGCATAAACATATACCCAATTCAACGTCAAGAAAAGACACATACCAAGTCAAGTAAACGTTGTGTGTGAGCAGAATGTCGTTGATGGTGTAAATTCATTATACGCTACTATTAGGTGTCAAGTGCCCTATTTTGTTGTTGACGCAAAAACTTTATCTCTTTTATTAATCAATACGTTTACCATAAACCATTAGGTTTATTCGTTTTATTTTCAACCACAAGTTTTGACAAAATTTTTTCAACTATTTTAACTTTAAGTCTGAATCTTTCTTTTAAAGAGAAATTGGTCACAATATTACAGGTTTACATTCAGACAAGAAGAGTGCACGAATGTATAATTAGAAGACTCGATACCAATATAACCTTATTTGCCAAGTTGTACGCACACATAATTGATCTGTCAGATAATTATGTTAGATAATCGTAAAATTGATAAGAGAACTGATTACAGTGACAGCTTGCGGTTGTGCCAAATAATTTCCTGATTATTTCTTGCGCTTGTACAAGATTTGTTAAATTAGACAGCATACATACACAACTTGTACTAAGTAATACTGGCTGCAAAAAAAAACCCAACTATTATTGAAAGTTTCTTGGCATGACTTTTGTTATTAAATGCTTAGAATTGGGGTAGAATTCGTTGTAACCTGTCCTCTGTTTTGACTTGGCATTGTTTGCATGCTGCATAATATTAGCCAATAATAAAAAAACCTCTATTTTGTATACACATAACTTGCGGTATTCCGACAATGCGAGAACATCTTTGGACACTTCGAACGTTATTTCTGTATGCAAACATGTATATTTATAGCTAAAAGACGGTAAACGTTAAAACAACAGCTCACGAGACTCGGAATATAGGTTTGGGGTATGAACAACGTTTAGTCGGCGAAAAAAACGCTTTACGTATACAAGGCATATTAGTAAAAACAATCATCGAGTGATCTACTTGTCACACACAGATAGTTAATATGTTAGTATTACATATTATTATTATTATATGTTGTATAATTCTATAAAAATAACAAGTAGCTCATTAACGCAACCTGCAGTTTAAAACAATCATTGACAAACGAAAAAACGTTTCTGTTCTTTCTACAAATTATAAATTTGACTTGTGTATTCTCGATAACATCCGCACAACAATATTCTTTGTATGAAGTGTCTATCAGCCAATGAACAATGTTTTTCATTCCCAAATATTGTAACGTGAATGCATTGTCTGCATGTATATAAAGTGATAAGGCGCTCAATGAATTTCCAAATGCGAGCAGACGTATTTGAACGTTTAACAGAAAAAAAACTAGCTCATCGATTAGGTGATGTGAGCAATTTTTGTTAAAATGTCCACCGACTTTACATGCCTGTTGTCAAGTCTCTCATTTCGTCATTGCATAATTTTCTTTGACAAAAAGCTGTTGGTAACTTGAAAAGTTTGTTACGTTGTTTTGTGCTGCAATATCGATAGTGTTTCCTGCATCACAGATAAGCGGATCGACACAATGTTAACAATGTTAACATTACACTGCATCTAAAAAAAAATATTGCAATCTTAATACAGATGTAACATCTGTGTTGACTTTACGTTCTAGTTGAATGTTTATTCTGTACCCTAGATTACCAATAATAGTGACAACGTTTGATTCGCATAATATGACTGGTAGTAGTAGCCCCATTGGATTTTCCTCTTGCAGGCTTGGTCGGTGTTTCCAAGATAAAAATAATGTGGAAATCCATTAGTTGGTTGCATAACAATATTATTATACATAACGGTATATTCTGTTATGGTTGCTTAATGTGTATAGGCAAACTTCTTTAGACATTTACCGTGATTGAAACGACTCGTATTTATTTGCTCAACAGTTTTGTTTATTTAGCAAACGCGAATGGTATTAATATGTAATTGGAAATTGTCATGTGCAATTTTGGTCACCTGACTTGCGCACCATAATTTCCCCCACATCTTTTCATGGCTCTTCCTCTTTTCCTACACGCACACACGCCCCACACCTATCTTCAAAATGGGGAAGGCTGTTCGGTACGTAGGCTTTATTCGAATAGAGACCCCCGCACGTAGTCTGTGTTTTTATCATGCATGGAACAAAAGATTCAAATGGATGGCTCACTGGCCGGATGGTTGATGGATGAATAGATACTAAACTTTCATTTACATACCTATTTTTTACAGTCTTTACGCTAAAGGACGTGTTCTTGGGTACAAGCGTTCAAAAGTAAATCAGTCGCCAAATACCACTTTAGTCAAGATTGAAGGTGTTACTACTAAAGAAGAAACACAATTCTATCTCGGGAAACATATAGCGTATGTTTATCGAGCAAAGCGAGAGGTGAGATTTGACACAATCGATGTCTGAAGCTGCAGAAAACTTGATTGTTTACTTCCGATTCAGCAATCTACAATGAAAAAATTTTGCATTTACTCTTTGCAGAAAGATGGAAGTAAGATCCGTATCATTTGGGGTCGAATAGCCCGGTACTTGTCATTATTGTTCTTGTTCGAGTAGTGGCTTCATCTTGTCGTTTTACTGCTAGTTGCATCCGTAATCTAACTCACTGTCGTCTTTTTAGTCCTCATGGAAATGGTGGTGTTGTGAAAGCAAGATTCAGAAAGAATCTTCCGCCAAAGACCTTTGGGGCTTCAGTTCGCATTGTAAGATTTTTCCCAAAACTTTGTCGATTTTGTTGTAACTCAGCTGACATACAAATTCAATTATCGCACACGTTGCTTTCCTACAGATGATGTACCCATCCCGTATCTAATAAATCATTAATTCAAAACACGAAGCGAACGGCAGCGTTTCTTGGCACTAAATAAATTTTGTTATAATAGCAAATAGTATAATTATTCCATGAAGATATTGGAAGGCTACTTAATGTGAACGATTTGTCCATTACTACTGTCCATTCCATTGCTCTTACCACTTGCTAATCCCCATATCATCACTATACGTATATCATCATCATCATCATCACCATCATCATCACCACCACGACCACCACGATGACAGCAGCAAGTTGAATGGATTTGAAGAGAACTTTTGCAACTTCAGCGGATCCAGAATATGCTAATGGATTATCCACAACGTTACTATTTCCCTAGTCTAGCTTTATAGCAAAATGCATGCACAATTTCTTCAAACAAAACTTCCGCAACATTGACAACCATAGACAGGTTTTTGTATACCCCCATAAATATTTTATTTCACTTGGTATTTGCCAACAACTTGGAATAGGAGAAACAGTGATTCATATCAGACGGCTCGGTTCCGTCCTTGAGATTATTTCGTTGGTGTAGAGTCGGTGAAGGAAATGCGAGAAAGTTTTAGGATCAGAGTCTGTGATGTAATAATTGGATGGCTTCTTCGAGTTCCTCCTCTGATAAAGATATGCCATCACTTCCGTTGTATCATCGCGTACTTGTAACTTTCGTTTACTGCTTGCTCCATTCCTAAAGACATGCGGATCGTTTTCTAAAACTGTATTTATCTCTAATTTCTTGTCTTCTGCAATTGACTCACCTGTCACGTCAACCACTCCACATCTTGTGCTCACATCGAAGCCTACCTCTCATTCTCTTCGTCGACATTTTTCTCAATAGGTCTTGTATATCCGACACACTTTTTGTTTTCGCCATAAGAATTCGACGAGGCTGTATCCACTCTGAAACATATTGCGGAAATATATGTTCCACATATTAGGTCCTTCATGGTTAAAATCGCGTGTTCCTTGACAATAGAATGCGACATCAGCTTGGGATGTTAAAATGTCTTTTATTAGGAATCAAAGAAAGAATGATTGGCGTGTGTTTGGCAAAGCCATTGTCTTCAAGCTCGTCACTATCAACATCCAAAAACTATCTTTTCAAAAACTTAACACTGTTGATTATCTTTGAACTTCACTTATTGATTCTGATTTACGCTTCAAAAATTGTGGGTCTCAATGAATTGCCTTCTTTGAGCTTGCGAAGATTATTCTCAACTGTACGTAGAGAAATACCAGTTTTTTTGATTTCTTTGCTGAACAATGCCATAGTTTGTCGCTGGGTTTCCAATTTAGACTCAATCATGTTATAAAGCTCTACAAAGACAAACTTTTTAAATCACTTCTTTGTAAAAACGGACAATAATAGAAAAAAAATCAGTAAACGAAGTAAAGCAAATTTGCTGATACAAGCACGCGTTAATAATTGTTTTGTCTGGCAAACAAACTTTACAAGTCAAAAAAAGTTTATGTTCTTTCCAATTATCAATAAGACGTTGTCTTGCCCGCTGTACTTGTCTTTCTTTGTGAGTTTCGGTAAACATTGGTGTGGCCATTGGTATGCTTTTGGAATAGTTAAGCTTAAACACGAGAGAAACCATTCAATCTTGTCCATAAGTTTGTTTTTGTTATTACGGTTATTTTTTACATTGACATGTAGGTTTTAACAAAACAGTGTTCGCGTATCTTAATGCGTAAGCATTATTATTATACATTGTTCTGAAGAATGAAAAGAGAGTTGATTAAATCACTCCAAAGTTATGCACTTAATTCCAGTGTCAGCTATCCAAATAGATTATCCTTACACTTGGCATCATCGTCATATCTAAATAAATAAGTGAATAGACACAAATAACATCTTTATTCTAGCATTAGCACATTTTGGTGTAAAAAGTCGTATTTAATCATTATGTAACTGAGTGCATGGAAAGCATTAAGTTACATGATTTATGACAAAAGATTAAGAATATAAAACTGTATCTACTGTATGTATTATAATTTATAAGTTGTAATTCAGAGCATGATTAGAGCTATGTCTCCCGTTAGTTGAAGCTAAACGTGCTAATAGCAAAGGTAAAACAAACCTATACACTAATTGTTAATGATAAAAGAACTCGTTACAATGAAGGGTCGTATTAAAAATCAGGAGAAATTAATATTAGTATACTCGATCAATTCTTGCCATAATATTAAATCGCGTGCAAATATTACGACCGAAAATAAACTCAATTTGATAGCAGCGTTCAATAACTATAACGTTTATTTTAATATGTTGCAACCCCACAACTTTTTCACTCTATGAAAGCTCAATTAACACGTTTAAGCCCAATATAAAGCACGCATTCCTTTCTATACTAGAATCACTATTTTACATTTATATAGGCATACCACGGATGATACTTGAACTCGATTACTATGTCTCTCTTTGTTGTTGTACCACTGTTTGGATCTTGAATGGACGATGCTTTTGCTTCACGTTTAGTGGACGATATACTAGGATGAAGCATTCTTTGTATGCTAGTTGAATTACCTATGCATACTCGAAGCATATTTTGCATATCCTTAATGAAAACAGGAATCATGTGATCAACGTTAAATATACATTTGTTATGCTCGAAATGGACAGCGAAACTAACCTCTTTAAACTCGGGTCCGCAAAGTTCCATACGTGTCTCTGTTGGTTTCAAGGAATTCAGTCTTTCGATGACATTACGACACGTTTCAAAGTTACGCAACGCTGCCGACAGCAATTCGCGTGGCTAAGATAAATTGTGTTTGTTGAATTAATTGTTGCAGTTATAATTATTATGTGCATATCATGATATCTTACAGATACGTCTGGGAACCGAGTTGTCTCCTTAAAGTCAGCATAAGTCAACGCAGTAGGACTACCCAGATTTCTTAACATTTTGGTTCTATTCCAAAAACGTATGCTCTCATTATCATATTCGAGATTAGGCGAAACCCAATCGTTGGATTTGTGTAATGCTACGATCATCTGATAACAGAACGAGAATGTCGAATTAACACTATGACTATACAATTGAGCATCTGAATTTCATTTTCGCCTCTTTACCCTGTAAACACCTCGACATATTTCCTGCTTTGCCGTAAGTAATAGCTGTTTGTTAAACAACTGTGATACAATTGGAGGCACTGGAGTCGGCCTCGATTGTTTTCGTCTGGATTTACGATGGTCTATGTAAAGAGTGACGAGCAATTAGCACGTGTAACCAATGCAACGCAACCTAGCTCAGCTGTATCAAGCGTGGGTTACCTTTCTTATTTTTTGCAGCCTTTCCAGCAATGTACACGGCCATTCTCTCCAAATGACGATGATGAACACCCAATATATAATCAAGATACCTAATGAATTCGAGAAGAACAATGCAGGAAACGTATAAATGATTTGCCAGTTTCCTAAATTTAATCACAATATTGTCTTCTGCCGCTCACCAGTAAATCATCATGTACTCATGCGATCCATACAACTCCAACTCAAATCCAAGAAATAGAGTCTCTTCCAGCATCACCAACTTCTGATGGTAAACCCACGTTGATAAATAAAAGGAAAACGATGGGCCGTCCTTAGTGTTCATTGGTTCCTCTTTTGTTATTGCGTGCAATTCAGAATCGATGTGTTCCGCCTGATATAATACGTGTGCGATTAATAATCAAGTGAAAGGTGAGGTGTTGACGTGCTTGTTATGGACAACTTTACCTCATTTTGTAACATATCCCAATCTGATAGCAACTTACACAAATTCCTTCGTTGCCGCGACCGATTATGACAGAGAACCCGAAGGAAATTTAACCATGGCTTAAATAAACTGTTAATGACTCTCCGTATCAATTGCTCACTCCCACATCATCACATCGCTTTCATACATTCCTCCAGCTTTCAATTACTCATAAACATGAATTACCTTCGAAGCATTCCCAACGAATACACGTAACAGGTTATGTATGTTCGTGTTATCAAAACTGTTTCCGCCTGCACTGCTGCTAAAACCACCACGACTACCGCTGCCAATACCAGGTGTGATTAACTCCGTCTTTGAAGTGAAATAGGGGTAGGGTGGATTGTTCAATTCTAATACAGAGTCTTTGACTAGTTGATGCATTGACATACAACCGAGAACTCGGTCATCTGTGCAGAGCGTAGACTGATTGATTGAGAGGCCGGGATAAGTAAAGGATAAGAAGAATATTCACGGATGCGTCTGTCATACTAATAAAAAACGTACTTGTAGTAATGATCTTGAGAAAGCGCATGGGGCAGGTCGTCGTGCAGCAAAATATGCGAAATAATTCTATTGCATGGTTTCAAAAAGTTAATGAACATATTGTAAATATGCCACGTGTATCAGACAACATCGTTCCTTACCTGTAAACTACTAGCCGACTTGTATTCAATGACTCCGCATATTGATATTACTTCCTTCAACAGATTATCCAGATCATTCAAAGACTATACAAAATGATAAATTATCGATTACATTAGGCGGAATTGGTCTCCAACTGCAACGCAGGACCAAACATATTTCGGGTCCGAACAAAGTCCAAATTACCTCTTCTATTGAAAGTAGTTTTATTGGACGCGGTGGTGTTTGAGATACGAGTTTCCGATTTATCATTGGGTCGAAAACTGTAAGATGAATTGCGGAACCGATAGCATTAAACACTCGAATTCATGCAGTATTAACCGAAATTCCTTCTCTAGCAATATTTTCACCAGACTCATCATGTCTTACCACACTCTACATCGATTCCAATCTCAATAGTCTCTCTAATCCCAATCCCGTTATTGGAACCATTCAAACACATGAGGGCTCTTTGTAGATGTTTTGCTGCAGCAGCATATTGTGAGCATTGCGGTTGGGAGATGTTATTCAGTGCAATCAAAAAAGACTAATGTGGAGAAATGTGCATGGAGAGAGTTATGACTTGTGATTGAAAGATACAACACGTGAACGAAATGAATAAATAACGAAAGCTTATAGTATATAATTTAGTAAAAGAAATACATATAGAAACACACCTTGCGCAGAGATAGACGTAGATTAAGGGCCTGAGCTATCGTGGCTGCTGAGGATTGATCTGAGGCGCATCATATAATTCAAGTCAATTGTTCTGATTTAGTGAACACCATCTCTAAGAATAATTAAACCATCCTACCATAATTTTGTAACCAGGATTTTCCAACATCATCTAACCACTGTTTGGCCGTGTCAATTAAATTAATGACATCTGATATCGATTTATCTTCACACAGTGACTTTCCATATCTATTCGTCGCAAAGTCCTCCTCCTTTAAACATAGTAATTACATATCAATGAATGAACAAATTTTGTAATACAACTTGCCGCAGTTCTTCTCATACCTCATACACATGACCTTTATACATCTCTTCCCAGACTAAATGACAGCATTTCACCGTCCCCAATATATATGCTTTTAATACAACAGCCACTAATTCAGCTGGTGTGCTATCATCATTTTTATCAGGTGAAGCAAACGCGTCAAGTGTTATATTGTCCAGATGATCGAGGTATAGACAGGTGTAAAGTGTTTGTGATAATGAATGACCGGAATGCCAAGTCATCTGGTGAGACAGAAGGGAAGTGGTGCACGAGTGGTAGGTTATCCATCATCACAAACAATACAGAGTACTAGTCATTCATACCTCGCAAATAAATAATCTATCCATAACTCCAAGAACTTCTTTTGGAGTCAAAAGTACAAAAGGGTCAAACGCTTTCTTATTAATATCACTTTCAAATATCATTCCACTGTCCATCTTTGGATCCATTATCTTTTAACATGTTTGTCATTGCATTGTCAATTGAGGGCAGGAAAAGCAATTAGACATTTAATGTGTGAATTTTTACAATAGAATCGAAAACAAAATCATCTCCACGCTCACCGCATCTAAAAATTTTTATGGATCATCCCCACCACATCATCCTTTCATTCTTACCTCGATAGAACTCATTGCATCATATAAACCAAAAGACTCAAGATGAACTAATTGGCCAAGCTCGAATTCTACACTTTAACACAAGAAATAGAAAGAGAATAAGATGCGACACGCATAAGAGATGATAAGCGGTGAATATAAATAAACTCGCGCATTTGTACACCGATATAGCATTCATGAAAGAACATGTTATCGCGCTGGCTTTCTCTCCCAACCTGTCGCACGTTCTCTACGATCCCTCCCTTCGATAATAATCTTCACAAATCATACCCTCAGTAACTTCATCGAGAAACTTGGTAATATCTTTAAAGGGCGGACCGATGTACTGGATACTGTCTTCCCCCATGCTCCCATCGAATGTCGCTCTTATCACATCTACATCATTTTTCTCTTTTGACTTTGATCCTTTGATGCCGGAATCATCAACAAAATCTACGACCGAACGTACAAGAGAAGATAAGCTAGAAGATGTTTGTGATTGTGGCAGCGGGGACGATGACGCGGTCGTTGTTGTGGATAAGCTTAGGATGGATAGAGAGGCTATATGAGTAGGATATGAATAAAAATTTGGGGCGTTCTAGTAGCAATTCTGTTCAAGTCTTTGTAAATGAACAGTTACTGTTCCTTTGCGTACTTTTAACCTCATTTAATTCCCGGTCGCACCTATATTTACGTAACCGAAAAACGCTTGTAATTGAGTATTAATTCGTCGTTCCCTTTACTTTTCATAAACTTGACTCACTTGTTGTCGTCATCGAACGTCATATTCTTGTAATCGCACTGTTTCGCTACTTCGGATTCAACGATATGAACTTTCTATGCGCCCTCGTTCCTTTTTAGTTGATGTCATGTGATATGATAGGTTAATCAAATCAGAAAACAAAAAAAAATAAGGAATTATTTCTAGAACGAGTCGATATGAAATCTTCAGACAAGTAAGCTTGTAAGAAGGCAAGCATTTGTTTATACGTGCAATGCAGTCTCAAAATCATTAACCTACGATATAACTATTTGTGTGGTGATTTGAGGGATGGTAAACTTACAGAACACGAAACTCAGATATTGTATGAATTACGCGGAATACTGCATGCTGTAAAGTCAATGTATGCTGAATTTACTATGCGTAACCATGTAACCATGGATTGATCTTAGGAAGAATGCGTCGAGCGATATCGTTTACAAAATGACTTATATTTTAAACGTTTCCCTTTATCTACTAGAAATCTAACTCTTGCGAAAGCAGTTCATACAACATCACCAGGAGGACCACTTCACGATGCACAGAGACATGCGAGATTGGGACTAGCGGGTTTCTCTGATTTGATTAGACAAGTTAGCGGAAGTGGATTTGCAGATGATGGACAACATTGTAAAAAATGAGAATTGTAGAAGCGCTATAAATAACAGTGAGAGTATTTTAGTGGTTGTCGGCAATCGTATTATGATCGGAGACTGGATCGTTGATAGTAACGCCGCTTATAAAGTATCCGATGACAATTACAGATCACATTCTTTCGCGTCAATTGCATCACGTATCTGAACGTCCATCCGTAACATTAAATTAGTACAAGCTCATGTTTTTAATTCTATATTTTTCTTTGAAGTGAGTAGATCTCGAATAACTTCCACATGCGATAGTCTATTGAAGAATTTATTGATAGTTTATGCTCCACCGCTATAATAAATGATGAGGTGATGAGTTTTTCAGCGTGAAGAGAGATAATAAGCATATTAATCACAAACAACAATGATTATGATATTATACATACACCAAAATGTTATTGATAGGAATATGAATCAGTTTGACAAAGAATCCAATAAATCCCATCACAAGAAATCCCATCGCAACTGCCTGCGATATCTTGATATATTCTGGAATAACGAGTGAATAAAAAGAGGGTTGTGTTAGAAATCGACAGGTAAAGCGTAATGAACATTTGATCTCGTACGTTCGTAATCGCTACCCCTCGCACATGTCGTCGCGAGTTATTAGGATCTTGTTATAATCTACGCTATGGTCACCGCGATCATCAGTTTCATTATACGCTCCCATACCTCTTCGATCAGGCTTAGTACACCGATTTAAGAATTGAGTTCCCTCTTTCACAAACTGTTTAGGCATGTCAATTAGTTCCTTCACTTGTTCGCTCATCTTGGCGTTCAATAGTACGAGTTCTATTATACTTGAGGGTGCGATTAGAGTCGGTGGGAACCAAAGAAAGTAGATGAGACTTAATAATAACTGAATAGGAAGGTAAATGAGAGGATAACCAAGACCAATGGAAACTTGCCAAGTTTAAGTTGAGTGCATGCAATTTAATTACACGTAATCTCATTATTACTATATAAGGCAATCAGCCCATTTGCATAGCGATAACGATAACTTCAAGACATAAAATAGTAATTATAATATAATCACATGATAAATCATCTGCGGCAAAGTCACGTTTTTACCAATACCCAGAAACTATCCGATATAATATATACTATGACTATACGTGAACGTCATGAACGAAATGACTTGTGAGCGTAGTGACTATAGGCAAACAAACATAATAGATATCAAAGCTCTTGTGAGATTTGAAGATGGTTTGTAATATACCATTCAGCTGCTCGGCCAAGAGAACTGAAACAATATTATCATCGTTGTAAATGATTTGGTTTTCGTACCGAAGACATTTTTGTAGCAAATAATTACGCAAGGTAACTTTAAATTTAGAACGAATTAATTCTTGTGACAGATTAAAACGACACCGACTTTTTTCCTATTTAATATGAAAATTTTAAAAATTTTTGGGGGTAAAATTTTTTGAATTTGGGCTAGGATTTAGGGTATTGTTTGATAATAGAAGAGTATATTAATGTGTGGGTTTCTGAGCTTTAAGAAGACCCCAAAAATCGTTTTAATCCGATGTCGTTTTAATCCGCCATAATTCTTGTTGCGAAAATGCGACACTGTTTTAACAAAAGAATTGATGAATTTATATCGTTCTCTTTGTAATACTAATGCGGGACACGCGAGCTTATTACAATAACAATCTTTTGCGTGGCACCTGGCATGATAAATATATTGGCTTGCGCGTTTATTAGTAGTAATTGTGTCATTCACATGACAGGAATATTTCCGGGTATTAGTGAAAACGTGACTTTTACCAAAAACGAAACCAAAATTGGGGGGTGCTTGCCGATCTATCAAAAAAAACGGTGTATCAAAAACGAAACCTTTGCCACCAACACGCTACATAAAAATGAATCCTAAGGTGTTTATGGATATTAAGATTGGCTCACAATCAGGTAAGCATTACCAAGCAAGTTAGACAGTGTACAGGATGCCACATATATTATCACGTTTACGTATTCTTTTCAGCCGGCAGGATGATTTTTAGCCTCTTTTACGAAACCGTACCCAAAACAGCCCAGAATTTTCGTGCTCTCTGTACTGGTGAGAAGGGCTATGCTACTATTATGCCATCGAAGCCATTATGGTATAAAGGAAGCAAGTTGTGAGTATATGCTATATTAAACAATATGAGTCAGTAAATTACATTAATTTACCTTTGATCACATGATTGTAGTCATCGTGTTATCCCCGGGTTCATGGCCCAAGGTGTGTTAAATTATGAGAGCTAGATAGGCTGCAAAATCACAAAGTGAAAGCGGTGAGCCCGATTGAGTGATCTTTCTCTTAACTGTATTACTATAGTAACATCTTCTTTTAATATACTTCAGGTGGAGGTAAGCCTATGTGTTTTGAACATACCCCAGTATGATCTTACTTCTCTTTTCACCTCCAGCTGAATTTTAACCTCATGGATAATTAATTACCGTCAGATTTTACACTCGGTGATGGTAGAGGTGGTGAATCTATATATGGACCGAAGTTTCTTGAGTAAGTGAATGGACACAAGTTGATCTTGTTATGAACTGTAGAAGTACTGACGGACCGAATATTCGTATTCAAAATTAGTGAGAATTTTAAGTTGCAACATGATAAAAGGGTAAATTCTTTAATATGATAAGAAAATGAAATTGTGTTAACTTTAATTTCAAAGTATGTTAATATGAAAAAACGCTGGTATGTATTATCTTTACTCTAGGGTCTATTGAGTATGGCTAATTCCGGTCCTGTGAGTAACCTATATAATTATTATTTGCAAGAATCTATCACGTTTTACTAATGAAGTTAATTCTTGCACTCAGAACACAAATGGGTCTCAGTTTTTTATTACATTTAAAAAAACTCCATGGTAGTATTTCTAATTCTGCTCTTGAAAAACAACCCCTGCATAATATAGTTTGTTTCTGAAAAAGTCTCAATACATTTATTAACTCCAGGTTGGATGGCAAACATGTTGTGTTTGGAAGCTTGGTAGATGGAGGGACAGTATTAGACCAGATTGAAAAATTAGGAACACAACTTGGGACACCAGAAGAAGTGATTGAGGTGGAAGACTGTGGAGAATGCAAAGATAGTGATGAAAAGGTGTAAATGCAGAAAAGAGATGCTGCAATGGAGTGAAGAGCAGTGAGTTCAAACCTGGGAGGTTATAATGCAGAAGAGAGAGTATATATGTGAATGGTTGAATCTAAATGCACCTGCAATAAACGTCTGCGTATTATATGTGCTTGGATTTACATACCAATTTAAATTGTTAGATATTATGACCACGTCGTCACGTGTTTTAAGTTATGTACACTCAGTGACGATGAGTTTGCATCTGTGTCGTAATTCGAGTGACGACAAGATCGTCATTTGCCGAGGAAGCCAGCCGAGGTGTTAGCTGAAGTCATGAAGTGACATGAGTTTGCATTTGTGTCGTCATTCGAGTGACAATACGAGTTTGCGATTACGTCATCATTGCAGGGGTTGGCTTTGCTGTTGAAGTGGTATGAGCCATACGGCCAAGCATTTTCGAGTGACGACGAATCGCGTTTGTGTCGTCAGCCATGCGAGAGATGCCGGCTGACAATTTTATATTCGCGTCGTCATCTGAAAAAAAATCTTACGCAGTTATGATGGTGAACTTACGATTGCATCACCGATTTTCATTATATTAATGTTAACATGACTTGCAGCAGGATTAAGTGCATAAAATCTAAACCAATTGAGCTAAGCTGGGTTTTCAGATATTTTTTATTATTATAGCATTTCGGGAAACTGTAGACTTAGACTTGCGATATAATTACTAATTATCAATAGCTAGCAATAGCTTAATACTCGAGAGCTTACGCACTCTGTGCGTAGTGCTTCGCGCATAACTGATAAGCTGATAATCGAAATGTTGAAGAAGCAGAGCTTAGAGTCTTCGGCTCATCAGTATCCATATTTAGCCTCACGTGGTAAATTTACTTTGCAAAGCGACATGCACTCTGTGCAATAAAAATTATTTCGCAAATAATTTTGATAAAATTTTTTCGTGACTGTTCGAATGCTTTTGCAACATCTTCATCTGAAAGAATTCTTGCAGTAAAAGAGCCATCGATAATTATTTCCAAATTGAAAAAATATTTTGCATAGTATATAAGCTAGCAGAGTGGACATAACCCCAACAAAATAATATAACCGAAATGTCAGCTATTGCAACAAAAATTATCAAAAAAATACAATCTCGAAAGATGGACGTAGTCAGTATATTTCTGGATTGCTGAAAATGATAGAAAGCGGAATCAAGCACGAAGACATTTTCAAGATGGTTTCAAATTCAGTGAGGAACAGATAAGCATATTGATTCCTACTCAGAAAAAAGGTCAGCGAAAAGTCGTAAACCTTGTAACTCTGGACAAAGCCCCGATAAAGTCGGAAGAAACCATCAGTGAGTTAGCACAACGATAAAATTAGTGAAAAGGATATGAAGAATTAGATCTGACTTTTGGGTTCCAGCGATATAAGTTTTAAAGTAGGAACACATGCTCTTTGTTCATTGTTGATTGTTGATTGTTGACGGAAAACCCCTGTTCAGAAAATGAAAAAGATATCGAACATATTAAAATCATCTAAAACTTATAGAGAAACGATGTCGCGTGTTCACTTTGTCGAAATAGATTATTGGGACATCTTTATTGGTGTAAACGCGCGATCGACAATTCGATGATATTAATGTAAGGGCAGACTCGTTTATAATAATAGGGGTCGAAATAGATGATCCAAAGTTTTCACCATTTCCGCCAAGGTATTTTTTCTGCCATTAATATTATATATTAATAGTAATTGAAGTGTCATACTCAAATCGAATCTTTGACTATCAATTTAGTCTCAGTACCAATCAATAATAATGTAATGGTAAAATTCTTTAATGACTAATTATAATATTGAGACATCCAATAACCATCAATCCAAATAACAACGCGGCTTGTAAAAATTTTCTTGTCTTTCTTATTTGATGGTATGTGAAAGCAAATAAAAAAATTGTTCACATATTAATATATAATATCATACTTGTAGTAGTAGTAGTAGTAAAATCTTGCTTATCACATTAGTTAAGTGAAGGTCACACCACTAACATTTCCACAGTGCAAAAAAAATTGAACAGTTAATGGTATGAAAATGTAAAAAAAAACTATACTAATACTAAGTTTAATTATTAATCATCCAAAAATTTGGGAAGTTCTTTTACTACTACAGCAATATAAAATAATTTAACTCAACTCTATATCTTATCTAGCAGAAACCATATTTAATATTTAGAGATGAATTCAATCCAGAGCCTCTGTTCCTCCTGGATTCCCCATAGTAATAGATCTAGTACTAGAGATGTTAAAGAAGAATTTGATTCCAGAGCATTTGCCAATGCTGCTGCTCCTGTATCTCCTATTTGATTATCTTGAAGATCTAAAGATGTTAAAGAAGAATTTGACCCCAAAGCCTTTGCCAATGCTGTTGCTCCTGTATCTCCTATTTGATTCGAATATAGATTTAGAGATGTCAAAGAAGAATTTGATTCCAGAGCCTTTGTCAGTGCTGTTGTTCCTGTACTCCTATTCTATTATCTCTTAGATTTAGAGACGTTAAAGAAGAATTTGATTCCAGAGCATTTGCCAATGCTATTGCTCCTGTATCTCCTATTCTATTATCTCTTATATTTAGAGATGTTAAAGAAGAATTTGATTCCAGAGCATTTGCCAATGCTATTGCTCCTGTATCTCCTATTCTATTATCTCTTAGATTTAGAGATGTTAAAGAAGAACTTGATTCCAAAGCATTTGCCAATGCTGCTGCTCCTGTATCTCCTATTCTATTATCTCTTAGATTTAGAGATGTTAAAGAAGAATTTGATTCCAGAGCATTTGCCAATGCTGTTGCTCCTGTATCTCCTATTCTATTATCTCTTAGATATAGAGATGTTAAAGAAGAATTTGATTCCAGAGCATTTGCCAATGCTGTTGCTCCTGTATCTCCTATTCTATTATCTCTTAGATATAGAGATGTTAAAGAAGAATTTGATTCCAGAGCATTTGCCAATGCTGTTGCTCCTGTATCTCCTATTCTATTATCTCTTAGATATAGAGATGTTAAAGAAGAATTTGATTCCAGAGCATTTGCCAATGCTGTTGCTCCTGTATCTCCTATTCTATTATCTC